TACAATTTTTAAATTTTTGTTTACAATATTTCCAGAGAACGACCTTGCTCAACATACAAAATAATATTATTTTCAATACATTTTCCAATTTACACTCTGGATAAAGGATCTGCCAACACGTTTTCTTTTCCAGCAATGCTTTATTTCTAAACTAAATTGTTGGAGAAACAAACTCCATCTCAAACTTCTCAGATTTGATATGCGAGTGTGCTTTAGAATTTTCCAGTTTAAAAACAAAATCCAAATTCTGAGTCTGATTCAATTTCACATGTATTTTCCACTCCACACTAACCAGATTTTGGTGACTCATGCTCATAATATGGCTTCAATATGTTGATGTGACATATTCGCTTGTTTTTCTATGATCGAGAGTTTCAATATCATAATCCAAATCATTCAATTTTTTTAAAATTGAAAATCTAGCCTTCAGGGGACTACCTGGAATAGGTAGCAATGCCAAGACTTTACTTCCAATTTCAAAAAAACTAGCCTGACTTATGATCATACCAAGCTTTCATTGTTTCTTGTCTAACTAATAAATTTTTGCGATTGTGTCCACTGCTGCATTCAATCTTTCCTTAACATCCAAAACGTAATCCAGGATATTAGAATGGTCTCCTTCATTTTCCAACCAGCTGTCTTGGAGCAACAATAAAGGTTCTCTCACATTGTGAGAAAAGATCATGTCAAAACTAGAGATTACAAGTGACTCAATAGGAACTTCCCTTGTGGCAAACAAAACTAAAGGTGTCCCTAAGTCCAAATCTTCTGTGTGTCCTAAACAAAAAGTCCTGAGCATGTTTTTCAAAACTTGATGATAATGTTCAAGTGTTTCCTGACTTGAAAGATGGTAACTTGTAAATTCAAGTGCCTAGTTTTTTCATGATTTCTTGGAAAACATACATAAAATCACTACATTGATCACTTTGAATTTCCCTAAGTAAACCAAAATGCAAGAAAAAATTTATCTGTTCTTCAGCAACAGTTGTAGCAGAAATTATTTTGATAGGAATAGCTTCGGGGGTACCTAGTTGCCTGATCCAAGAATATCAACAAAAATCTATTTACTTTTTTTTGTCCTAGGAAGGGGGCTTACAAAATCCACAATAACTCTAAAGAATGGTTCTTTGATAGAAGGAATAGGTTTCAAAGGTGCTTTACAAACTATTATTAGATTTTCCAACTATTTGACAAATTTTACAAAATCCAGCTACATCTTTCCCTAGTCTAGGCCAATAAAAATGCTGCACGAGTTTCAATTTAGTTTTTCTAACTCCAAGATGTTCAGCTATGGGTAAGTCATGTGCTAAAGACATAATTTCCTGTCTATAAACTTCAGATACAACAATTTGGTTTCTAACTTATCAAATGTCATTAGCAGGAGCCTTAACGTCCCTCCAATTCCTCATCAACACGCCATCCTGAAAGTAATAACAAACAGGGTGTTTCTCTGCTTCCTGTTCTGAGACAGCTTGCTCCTGGTGAGCAATCGAACTCAAGTTCTTTTTCTGTCTCTCAATCAAAGTTTGCTTATTCGCCCTAAGTTTCACTGAAAGAACTGACTTGTCTCCAGAATCCAAATCTACAAAAAATGTAGTGCTCAAATCATAACTTTCGTTAGGGTCTGAATTTTTATCCAACTTAGCCTGACATTTGCAATCAGCACAAGATGTAAATATTTCTGGAAAAGCCTTGTTCAAGTCCTCCATCTTCTCATCTTCAACAGGAACATCATTCACAATTGGCATGATATGAACCTGGTCGCCTGCAACATCATTTCCTAAAAAGAATGAAACTTTTTCAATGGGCAATTCAGCAACAAGTCCAACTGTTCCAGGACCAGTAACATAATTACTATCTAAGTGGATCCTATACAGAGGAACAGAAGTGTAATCACCACAGATGCCCTGTATCAAAATACTTTTCCCCTTGGAGGTCAGCATATATTCTGGAACTAAAATACGTTTCAACAAAGTTTGGGCTGCTCCAGTATCTCTGAACAAAGTAATGGGCACAAACAACAGAATGACTAGCATTAACAGATGAAACAAAAAAGTGATCAAAACCCAAAGGTTCAGGTTCCAAAACTGTCATGCACTTGGATCTAGTAGGCCAGTCAGCAGGAAACCCCCTAATTGTAGACCAATGACTGGATGCCTTCCACTTGTGTTCATACACTTTCATGGAAGATGGATGTGTAGAACCAGCTAGCAAGGAAGCAACTCAATGTGTGAAACCAGATCTTCTCAGCAAGAACCAGACAAAAGCCAGGTATGAAGATGCAGGATATGAAAGATGGGATGTAGGATATGTGACCAAGGATGATGAAGAAGGTAAGTAGAAAGTGAAAGAGGAACAGGATGGGAGAGGAGCAGTTGCTGTAACTATGGAAACCAAGGCTGAGCTGGCCAATAAGGAGCAATCAGGAGGATCTGACAAGAAGTGGAGTGAATGAGAGAAGTCACCCAATGAAGTAATTGTATGGGTAGGTACACATAAACATACTTGTGTGACAAATCCTCGCTGAAAGCATTCACTGTCAATGCCTGGGGATGAGGTACAGGTGACCAAAAGAGAGGTAACTTTTTGTTGAGGCCCACAGCAAAGGCATCCACGTGAGGAGAACTACAGCAATGGCAAAAACCCATGAATATGAGGGGCTGTAATGACTACTCTGTGGGATATATCTGGTTGGGTTGTGAAAGATGATCCACGATCAGATTGAAAGCATCCAGCACATGACATGCAATAAAATGAATGTGATGTGTGTGGGCCTGGTATAAGAGATCCAACATCTGAAAACAGATATCTCTGGACCAGGTGCACCCTCGGTGTTTGATATATGCCACTACCATAGAATTGTCTGAATGAACCATCACCAGACAAAGTCAGGAAGAAAAAGGAAGTGATGCAATGCACAACGTACGGCTAAAAGTTCGAGAGCATTGATATGCAAAGAGCTTTCATCCACAGACGAATGGCCCAAAGCCTCCTGATTCCCCCCCTGGCTGGTCACGGGATCTTGAGGAAGAGGGAAGGAAACTGGGTAAGGAGAGATAGGAGGTCAGGAAATAAACTGGACACGAATCCATTTAACAGAACCAGAAGCATGCATCCACTGATCACAAACAAAGAATGCCAGCAATGAAGAAAGGTGCACAGCAGAGTTCCACCTGACCAGAATCCACTGGTACTGATGGTGAAGAAACAGAGTCATTACGAAAAGCAACAAGAAGTACCCCCTGAGTAGAAGAGACGAGAAATGGTAATTGGAGGCATATGAGGCTCTGACTGAGACATATGCACTACGATATTCGTAAGGGTGGATATTACGATATTCGTAAGGCTCTAGTTTCCAGGACTGTATCAAAAATACAATGCCTTAGAAATGGGGCCATACATAAATCCTTACGATATGTCGATGGTAAACGGATCGAAGCCAACACGGCATCATGACCTATAAGGTCCCAACAACATAGAAAACATGCATGTAACACCAGAGCTGAAGATGACATGTGGGCTAAAGTGGAGGAGAGAAGGGCAAGGTTATCTCCAGTAGACCCCACAGGATTTCTGTGGAAAGCCTCCGATAGAAGGTGTATGAAAGAAAGATACCATAATAGATTTGTAAGGGTAAGATGCAAGCAAGAATATTGAGCATGGGCAAGACTGACAGATAATTAGGGAGCTGCCTCCAAATATGCAATAAGGAATCTAACAACTGCTGGTTTAAAAATGGATAGTCAGCACAATGGTAGGAAAGTGCGAAGTGATCTGAAGTCCACAGGGGGTACGACATGCTAATCCCCTTGCTTAATTGTGAGGCAAAGTAATCAGCATGAGCATGAATATCAGGTGAGGGAGGAAAACCAAAAATGGTTGGGAAGTTTTTCATGCAGTAAGGAAGGACGAGGTGCATAAGAAAGGGGAAAGGGATAAAATGTCACAAACCTGAGACACAAAATCCATAAAGACCACAATAGGCCTAATAGACTCATTAGGTTTGGAATGGGAAGGAACAGAAAAATCTGGAGGTGGAAAAAGATGATCCAAGTCCTCCTCAGCCTGCACAGGATCAGCCTGTTCTGGAGGAGCATTAGTGATGTACAAGGACAAAGGTTGTCCCAAGTAATGTTTGATCTCCTGGTGTATAAAAAGCAGATAAATCCATCATTGAGTCACCCACACCTGAGGCCTGAGAAAAATGTTAACTTTGGAAAGGTTTACCAAATTTGAGTGCAGAAATTAAGGTGACTAGAATTAACTGATAAATACTAATAGAAGAAATAGGCTGAATGAAAGCAAATTAATTTAGAAAACAACCATTTCATGAGGAAATAAAGTTGAACATGAAGTATTAAACAAACAAAACAGCATGTCCGAACACAAGCATTGCCAAACTTCAAAGTGATATTTCGGTAGAGGATTGTAGAGGGAGTCACATGTCTTGCTCCTTTTGGTAAGGAGATAACGCATGATGATTTGCACAAGAGACATGTTGCAATCTTACACTTACAATAGGGGGGAGCAGAAGGTTTGTGGCATACAAGAAAAAAGTTTGCATATAGAGGGCAGCACTGAACGAGAATAGCTAATCTTGTGAGTAGAGGTAAGTACTGTATAGGAAGTCTGTTAGTAAAGAGTTCACTGCTTAGTTCTAATCCTAATTTCTATTCATATTGTGCTGAGCTCTCAGTCAGATTATGTTCTTTAAATTATAAGACATGCTCTTACATCTTGTAACGTAGCATAAATAAGTAAACTAGTCAAGGATTTAAAAATTCAGATACTAGGCAAATCAAAGCTAGTTGTTGTCCTTTTTATTGTAATGTTAAATACAATGAACTGAACTTAAGTATTCTTAGTTTAGAATTATAAAGCCTGGTCTGAATAGAGCTACAGTAAAAGTGGTGTGACTATGGTATTTAATATGCTATTCAGTTAATTTTGAAATTAAATTAGACTATTAATGTTATTGGTTTAGAAAAGTTTTAACCAACCTGATATTAGAACAAGTAGTATATCTGTGGCTTTCAACTTCTTGACAAGACTTATTATACAATCAGCAGCAACACTGGAATTTTTATCTGGCAGGTTATGCTTAGCACCTTCCAGCACTAAAATTTTACTATCTGAACCTGGCAGCAAATCCCTGGGGAACAAATTAATCAAAATTTATTAAATTTCTTTTAAGTGATTATGTGCAATCAACTTTCCTAAAAACACTCAATTATTTACATTTTCAATCTGGAGACCAAAAATGACTATGTCTGTATATTTTAATTTTGTAAGTTATGAGACATGAAGGATGCTCTGCCTTCCAGCCTCTGTCAACAAACAGAAAACTAATTACTGAATTCAGCTCAGATCCCACTAGTATTTATTAAACATTCTCTTAGAATCCTGAAAACTTGCATCTTATAGTTACCACTCTATTGAAGAAATAAAACTGACCCAATTGCACATGTAACTGACCTTTACCAAATTTTAAGTTTATGACATCTTGTATTAGTTTAACTACTTAAGTGATATTATTTATGACCTTTTGCTGTTCAAGAGAAAACACCTTAAGACATCTCAACTTATCCTCATATGATAACCCATTTATCTCTGGAATCATCCTAGTAACCTTTCTCTGAACCCATCTTTGGTTCCATGAAAGTTTAAAATCACTGGAAAAAATGCATTCAGTCCTGAAATTTTGTGAAAATTAAAAGTGACTGTTTATCATTTTCCTTTTATTTATTTTTTTTTTGTAGTACAAGTTTTTCCCTTTTTGATTTGAATATTAAGTCAAGTATAAAAGTCTATTTAGTGTAGATGAAGTTTACTCCTTTGTTAATATGACCAATATTAGTGGAATGGACTGTATCGGCAACACCCATTTTCACTGCTTAATGAGAGCATGTGTACAGCACAAAATTAATTCTTCTTAATATGTATAGTGTAAAAACAAATATGAATTAAATAATTACCTTTTTCCACTCTGACTCATTATGTCTGTTGTTCCTTCTGGTATACTTATAACACCTTCTACCAGATGATGACCGATAATGTCTTCAACTGCACGAGCCATTCCGGCAACAGCTTTTCCAAAACCAACTACATACACATTGTTAGCTATATGATAGCTAAAGTCTTGAACAAGAAGTCTCTCATTATCCACTTTCAATGCTTTAGTAATAAATGATTTTGGCATGACAGCATCCACTCCTGCTAAAAATATTTTAAATGCATCACTCTTCATATCTTGCAGCTTGTCTTGTGGTTTTTCTCTTGCAATGCGAGAAGAAATCATTCTGCAAGTCCTGATTTTGCTGAGTTGAAGTCTCTGATGAAGCAGCTTGACACACCTTTTGAAATTCCCCTCAGCAGCACACATGAAAATATAATACTTAGTTAGTTTCAGGTATTCATTTACTTAAATCAATGTTATAGCTTATTCAAATATCACAGGGTAATGTAAGCACAGAATGAGTTACTTTAGTGAGAAACATTAAATGTATCATTTCCAAGTAGAAAGCATATATTATTGAACATCTTATTACTTGGTTCTTAAGGGATTCTTTATTAAAGCACATTCAAAGATATACTAACAAAATATTTTTCACTTGCATCTTGGTAATCAGATCAAAAGTTGTGAATAACTTTTTCAGTAACTGCAAAACAGAATGATATACAACTATCACACTAGTGATGTCTTATGCTAGCTTCTTACATGATTTGGCTATGAGAAAGCATTGGTTCATAAAAAACTTATCTATTGATAAGAAATATTACAAAACCATCTAAAAAAGTTTACAATTTTGTTGGACAGCTAACATGTCTTGAAACAGGAAAAATCTTGTATCACAAGTCTTTTGTCCTACTTCAAAGATTTTATTCTTTATGTTGATGAGGGTAAGGGTGTGGATTTGGTGCACCTTGATTTTTGGAAGACTTTTGACAAAGTGCCACATAAAAGACTAGCAAAACAAAAATTTCTATAAGTGTGGGGAATAAGTTAGTTCAATGGACTATGGATTGGTTAGAAAAAAGGAAACAAAAGGTTGTGTGTGTGCGTGTGTATATAAATATATATATCTGTGTGTGTGTGTGTGTGTGTATTAGCAGTACTGATGAAGAGACCTGGATCACTTGGAAAATTATGTAAAGAAGTGGCACTTAATTATGCTAATATTCACGACAATGCATGTGGGTTACTTTAAACTATAACTATCACCTTGATGGAAAGCAACTCATTAGTGTTATGGAAAAAGAAAGGATCTTGGTCAATCAGTCTATTAAGCCTTCAGGCAGTTTGCTATTGCCTATGGGAAAGCAAACAGAATTTTGGATTGTATCTATACAAATATTGAATATAAGTCAAAGGAGGTTATCATTTCTTTGTAGTTATCTATGGTTAGGTCTCAGTTCTCATTTAGGGTATCGAGTTCAATCTTAGGCTTCTTACTTTAAAAAAAAAAGTTATTGAGTTGTTGGAAAGTGTTCAAAGCAGGGCTATTAGGATTATTCCTACAATGGGAGGGGGTGCTATAAAAGGAGAGGTTATGGTCCTAAAGATTAATTTAACTTGAGAAAAAAGGTTTTGAGAGGGATCTGATCGAAGTGTTCAAAGTATCAAGGGAATAGACAGGATTGATGAATCATCTTTTTTCATGTTTCATCATTAAGAGTGATAGAACTATAGGACAAAGATACAAGATATGGCAGGATGGAAATCTACAAATTAGGAAATTTTATTTTTTAAAGAGGATGGTTAGCTTTTGGAATATATTTCCTTCAGACATAATAAATGAAATGGGACTGGGAGAGTTCAAGAGAGATTGACAAATATTATGGAAGTTAAGACTGAATATGAGCAGATAGGATTTTGCTGAAATGAATGTAACAGCCATGATGATCCAAGAGGCCTTTTTTTTGTCCCTCAAATGTTATGTTGATCCAAAATTTACTGGTCTGAACCAGAACCTGAATTCTATGTTATTTTCAATTCAAAAGGCACCAGAACACTTTTGCTTAAAAAAAAAATGAAAATGTAATCCTGTTGCCAGTATACCATAATATAATATTCAGCTGTGGCTAACAGTCAACCTTTCAAGTCAAATTAAAATCAGCACTGGTTTAACTAAATACCTGCTGATGACTAATATTAACACTCACTCTTTTCACCTATCAGCATGCAATGCACATGTTTTGTTAAACTTGCACAAGTGTAGGATATAAATAAGTATGACCTTGCACATTAAACACCGAAATCAGATTGACATAACCACAAATGAGTACAGATTAGTTATAACAACAGGCTTAATTGTTACTATGGTAATGCTAAAAGTATAAAAAATAAAATAGATGACTTTAGAGCACTGATAGGAATGGATGATTTTGATATAATGGGAATAACTGAAACATGGTTAAACACAGATGATTTTGATGACAGAAATTTCTTTGAAATGCAGGATTACAGGCTATTTAATAGGGATAGAGTAGCTTTATATGTAAAATGTGAGTCACATCCTGTTGAAGTTGAAGATATCAAAGATAACAGCAAGGATATTGAATCCATTTCGGTTTCTATTAGTGGGTATAAAGAGAAAAGGCTTTTAGTGGGAATTTGTTACAGACCACCAAATGATACTGAT